ATTTGAACAATTTTGCTGATACGCCTGGTATACAATGCTTTATGTGTACAGTAATAAACATTAATTCCTGAACGTAGGCGGGTTACTTTTCGAGCGTTCCTTGTATTTCCATTCTTCATCTGATGTTGTATTCTTTGCTCTTTGTTTCTTTCTATCCTCATTCTAGTTAAGTGACTTCGTATCAAATAGTGACACGTATTTGAATTCTATTCTCCGCAAAGAATCCTGACAATTTGATGCTTCGTTAATCCTGTGCATGCTGTTCTTTTTCCTTTCCCTTCGAGCATAGAACGTTACTCGATTCCGAAATCTATCCTGATGCCGTTTCCGTTAACGTCCGCAAATCATCTTTCTGTAAGGTTGGTGGATTTTACGACATATCAAACTCTTGATGCGTCATTCACTGACAATGTCCGTTTTCTATTATACTTGAATCTGGAGAGCATATAAACTTCTTCTTCTTTTCTTGTCCCTCCGATGGATCATGGACCTCCACAACTTTCTGTTCCTGGTAGCTCTTAATAAATATTGTCTTTTTCTTATTTCTCCCAAACCTTGTTCTGCCAGCCATTTACTCAAGCCTATCAAGTATGTTACACGCTGCTTTCCTCTGTACCGCTTTCCAGCTATCTGACTCCGTGAGTATCAGATTTTCCAAACCCTCCTTCCTCATCACGTGCTCCAGAAATTTCAACTGTCTCTTGCTGATGTTAAGTATACGTTTCCTTTTTGTTACTATTTTCTTTAAAATTTCGTCGCTCACATGTTTGGCCCATGATATCCTCAGCACCTTTCTAAAGAACAACAGGTAATAGTTCAGTACTCTTTGTTTCTATGTTTTTTCTGTCTCTTAATACTCTGCTTAGCTTTTGGAATGCATCTTTGGACATCCCAATACATCTTTGGATCCCAGTACCACACTTTCCGTCCTTCGTTAGAAAAATAGTTATTAGTCGTTCTTATACTTGAGTCTATAGGTAAAAATTGATTTTATTTATACTTGATTCAATAGGTAAACATTGATCTTACTTATACTTGAGGCTATAGGAAAACATTGATCTTATATATACTTGATTCAATAGGTAAACAGTAGTAGCCATTAAACTTGTGTCAATAAATAATCATTTGTATTACACATGCGTCATTGTCTTATGATTGCTATGGTTTAATTAGAAATTCTTGTATAACTAATTCATTAATATCTCAAAAAAGATATTCTTTAATCGAAAAAATATTTTCTTGATTTAAATAACCTGCAAAAGTGGTGATAAGCCGTGAAAAATGAATGAAAGAATCAATCATAGATAAATATTTGTTTTATTTACACTTACGACAATAAATACACATTGGTAGTGTTTGTATTTATATTTAAATCTATAGACAGACATTGGTTGTAGGTAAACTTGTGTTTAAAGGCAAACACTAATTGTGTTTATACTTGAATATATGGGTAAACATTTGTCGTGTTTAGTCTTAAGTCAATAGATAAAAATAGATAAATATTGGTAGTTTTTATACTTGAGTGCATAAGCAATAATTAGTTGGCTTTATACTTCAGTCTATAGGCTAACAGTGGTCGGAGATTTACTTTAGTTAATAGTTAAAATTATTTGTCTTTATACGTCACTCTACAGTTAAACATTAGCTGGTACTATTTTTGTGTACATAGGTAAATATTAGTCATGTTTGTAATATAGCCTATAGTCATACATTGGTCATCTGTGTACTTGATTTTATAATTAAAAGTAAGCCGGGCATATGCTAGAGTCTATAGTAAAATATTGATCGTTTTACACTTGAGTCTGGGTAAATATTGCTGTTTCCCACTTGTGTATGCAAGTAAATATTGCTCAAATTTATACTTGAGTCTATACGTAAATATTTGTTTCGATTTATACGTGAGACTATACGTAATGATTGATCATGCTTATAATTGAGTCTAAGAAAAAATGGCGTGTTTATATTTGACTGTATTAGAAAACAGTGGTCGGTTTCATGCTTATGTCGTTATAGGAAACATTGCTCGGATTTATACTTGTCTCTTTAGGAAAAAATGGCGTGTTTATATTTGACTGTATTAGAAAACAGTCGTCGGTTTTATACTTGATCCCGTATAGGAAAACATTGGTCGGGTTTGTATTTGATTTGATGAATAAACAGTGGTTCTTTTTTATACTTGGATCTTCATGTATCCACCGGAAGGTGGGGTCTTATCTTCCTGCCGATAGGATAGCAATTCGTTTTTGTTCCTGAAAAATAGTTTCAAGTCGTCTGTAAACAAAGTTTATCCTGTGAATTTGTATATCTCCATCTTCGGTGACAATTTCGTCAAGTGCCATTGAAAAGTTTCTTATGATTAATAGCTGCGGCGGTCCTCGTGGAAGCTTCCTTATCTTATTTTATCCTCGGAAAGAAAATGTTTTCTTGTAGCCAGTCCAAATATCAATGTTTTCCTTCGTTTTCGTCGTGAACATGATTTCTATTTCAACACGAGAAACATCTGGTTGTTTTGATTGAAAACAAAAATAAAAAATCACAACACCTCGATTCTCGAACATTCAGTACCATAATCTGAAATATATATTTTCCCATACTTTCTAGTTACCTTTTTATCATTTTATCCCAAACAAGATAATAAAGCCACTAAGACGCAAGGAATTACTGAGTTTTAGAGAATATGAGAACAAAATAGAACCATTACTGAGAGAAAAAACTAAAAGAACACGAATCAAGAAGACAGAAGATAACGGTTAACATTGCATTTATATTTTTGAATATCAAAGTTAACTGGAAAGCAAGAAGCTGGAAGAAGAGTTCCACAAGCGAGAAGTGCGATTGAAGAAACTGTTAGCATAGAACTTACGGTTAGGTATAGCCATTTCAACTGTAAAATGATGACCTTGCCGCCAATCTAGTAATGCACTTAAATTCATAAAGTCTACGTAACATAGAGGAAATTTATCAGAACAATTACCATGGAGGAATATATAGAAAAGGCACAGAGACGCTGCGTTACGGCACCGGGAAAGTGACTGAAGTCGAGATGCCAGGGCAGGATCAATAATATTGCACTTTCATTTTTGGGTTTTATCAAGCCTCTCTAAATATATAGCAGGAGCGCCAGACCATATGTGCATAAATATTTAAAGCAAGGACGAATGAATATCTAAGATAGATTCTGGCGAGAAAAATGTTCTAGCACGACATAGTGAACAGACTTTCTTAGCAACATACCTAGTAATTGATTTAGTATAATCTTTCTACTTCATGTCTGCGAAAGATTTAACCCGAGCTCTCAGGAAACGTCCAAAAATATATATCTACCATTGATTCTCTTAGTAGCACTGCGATCCTAAGAGAACTAGAAGTTCTACCAGGATTTATTTTCAAGGTAGTAAAAGAAAGGGTTAAGCATCACTTAAAGGAAGACAGGCAGTATTATCAATAGCAAAAGAGGTCGCCTAACATAGCCGGCTTCGAATTGGGGACGTCAGAATCAAGCAAATACAGCAATTTACCGATCTGGGAACCGTCATAACAGATAACAGAAAAAAAAGTGACGCCGAATTCGAAGACGCATTTGAATAAGGGTAAATGCCTTTTTAAAGCGAAGAAAATTTCATTAAAAAAAAGTGCTGAACTGCTACGTAATATCAGTCCCGTAAATGGCAGAACATTCTAGACAGTTTCATCACAGATGAAGATGAGACTTGAAGCAACAAACATGTGGTTATTTCGAAGGATGCAGAGAATACTATGGATGGAAGAGGTGGCCAAGAAAAAAAAACTTTCAAGGAAAATGGGAATAAAAAGTACACATTCACTTACAATCAGGAAGAGACAGTTGGCATTTCTGGGACACAAAAGAAGAAAACAGGGCTTGGAGATTTTGACACTCACGGGACATGCTAAAAGACAGTGGGTAAATATCGAGTAACCTACCTAAGGAACACGTGTAAGCGGATGGCAGAACTGGGTGTGTAATCGGCTAAACATTACTAAGAACTATAAAGAGTATGACATGTTGAAGAGCCGCGATCTACCAAGAACCGAAGAAATAAAAGAAATCAGCCTGTGAACTGAAGAGATGTCTCTGTCCGTTATTTGGCAGGCTTTTCTATTTTTTGCTACGTCTTTATAAAAGGTCCGGTCAATTGGTCACCTGCTTAAACCCGAATGTGCCAATATTGTATTTGTCATTGCTTCTTCGTTGCTTGTCTAATTTCCAAGTCGTGTGTGCCACCTGAAAATCAATAGACATTGTTATGGTCCGGTTCCTTGTAGCACGGTGATAGTCCAAGGTAGAACTAAATAAGAAGAACTCGAAGACGGATATGGAATAACACAGATATATTATAAACAGGAATATATACAGACAAATAGAAGTGTTAGTATGAACAAACAGGTTTAGTAGAGAGAACAATGTAGTCTCGACCAGTATCACTATTCCAATATCTTGCAGTAATTGTCTGAACGCGAATCTGTTTCGGACTGCCTCTGACTCAACTCTTGACTCGACTTGAACTACTGACTATATTTAGTCACCCCCCACCATCATGTGGCACAAGGCCGGTTTAACGTGGGATCTCCGAGCCCGTGGGCTCGGCCAAAAATATGCCCATTGAACCCGTATAAACGGGTTCAGGGTCGGTTTACCTCCCCGAAAGAGAATCAAAAAAAAAAAAAAAAAAAGTTGACTAATAGATTGATTGATTCGTTTTTTTTTACGGTTTATCACCCCATTTCCAGGTTATTTAAAGTCAAAAAATATTTTTGCATTCTAAGAATATATTTTTGGAGATAATAATGGTTTAAGTAATACGAGTTTTACTAATTAACCCATAGCTGGATGAGAAGAAATGGATTCATATCTTCTCCAAGGGTATTTTTGCGTCACTGATTATAACGAACACAATGGCAATTGGAACTTGGCTCCCAAATTAAAAATTCCGAGCCATTATTCATTACACCACCCGCACATCCAAGCTTATAGCACTTATAGCATTTGGTATACCCAATTGATTACCTATCTTGATACAGACCAGGCTCGACGTTGCTTAACTTCGGTGATCGTATGGGAACCGATGTTTCAACGTGATGTGGCCGTGAAGTTTGGTTGTGATTGATATTTGTGATTTGTTATTAATTTAAAATTAACTTTTCTGCATAAAAATTTCTTTCATCAGGATAAAGTTATCCTTGTTATTTGAATTCATTATTTTACAGCTTGAGCTTGAATAAATGGATGGTAGAACAGGGTTTGGGAGAAATAACAAACAGACAAGGGACAGGAAGATGTGGAGGGCTATGATAGCCTACTCCCTGAAGGTACACGACACATAAAAGAATAAAGAAGAAGATAAAAGTCTCACTAATTAAAGAGTTAGGTTCATATCTTTCCCAAGGTTATTTGTGCGTAAGGGAATATAAGGAACACATCGGGAATTGGAACACGACTCTCCAATTGACAATTCCCAGCTATTAACCATGATACCACCCGCACGTCCAAACTGACAGCCCCTGGTATTCCCATATGCTCACCCATATAGATATTGACCAGGTTCGACGTTGCTTAACTTCGGTGATCGTATGCGAACCAGTAATTCAACGTGGTGTGGCCGTAAGAATTGGGCATGTTTGACGTTTGGGATTTGTAATTAATTTAGAATTAACTTTTCTGTATAATTTCTTTTTATCATCAGGATAGCTTTTCCTTGTTAGTGAAATTCATTATTTTACAAAGACATTTGGCCTGTTAAAAAAAAAAACTGTTTTAATCGTTAAAATATAAACTGATTGTTTTTTTTTTATTCATCGTTCATAGTTCATCGAATTAGCTTTCTTTCTATGGGCGGTCAAAATTCTCAAATCCAGTAACTAGTCTAAAGGGAGGATAACATTGAATTAACATCCGGTTGATCGTGTGGCTAGGAACTCCACGTTTTAAAAAAACACTTGCAGCACTTAGTGTTCTGTGTCTGTGTTCCTATATTCAATGTTGGTAAACTATAACTACATGTGTTAAAAAAATGTACTGATAAAGCGAGTTATAATCTGCGCTGACGTCATGCTAGTAAATGTTTCTATTTCATTGTTGTTTAGCATATTAGGTAACTTGTAACTTCAGCCAATAAAATCATGGTAGTTTTTTATTTGCAAACGTGGTTCTACAGAAAGATGCGGAGGATATGATGGATCGAGCGTGTAAGCAACGATGATGTCTTAGAGAGGATGCAAACAAGTAGGAGGTTTATCACATAAAGAAGGGTCAGCTGTAGTTCCTGAGACACATAATGAGGAAGGAGGGCCTGGAGAATCTGATACTCACGGGTCGAATAGAGGGAAAAAGAGACAAGGGAAAGCAACGCATGACATACCTAGCGGGCTTAAGCAAGTGGATGACAGAACGTGGGCTGAGGGAGGTGGCAAAGGGAAGAAGCTTGTTGAGAGCTGCAAGGGATAGAGGGAGGTGGAGAGCCATGATTGTCTACGTTCAGAAAGAACACGACACATAGCAAGAAGCAATGTGGGCAGTGTTAATAATTTAGCTCCAACATTGAAGAAATCCCAATGAATTGTCATTACTCAAACAAGGTAAATAAATAAACCAGATGTTACTCTTTAAATTTTGTAGCTCGGTAAACACAAACCGTATGGTTGAAGCAACACAGGCAACAACGGAAAGACATTAAAACAAATAATCACGTGGTATTGTAATATTAGCTATTACCTTATAAGGAAAAACAAACAATCATACGGTATTGTAATATTAGCTATTACCTTATGAGGAAAAACAAACAGTCATATGATTTTGTAATATTAGCGATTACCTTATAAGGAAAAACAAACAATGAAACGGTAGTGTAATATTAGCTATTACCTTATAAGGAAAAACAAACAATTTTATGGTATTGTAATATTAGCGATTACCTTATAAGGAAAAACAAACAATTTTATGGTATTGTAATATTAGCGATTACCTTATAATGAAAAACAAAGAATCATATGGTATTATAATATTGGCTATTACCTTATAGGGGAAAACAAACAGTCACATGACATTGTAATATTAGCGATTACCTTATAAGGAAAAACCAACAATTATACGGTAGTGTAATATTAGCTATTACCTTATAAGGAAAAACAAACAATCATATGGTATTGTAATATTGGATATTACCTTATAAGGAAAAACAAATAAACATATGGTATTGTAATATAAACTATTACCTTATAAGGAAAAACAGACAATCATATGGTATTGTAATATTAGCGATTACCTTATAAGGAAAAACAAACAAATGGTATTGTAATAATCATATAAGGAAAAAAAAAGAATCATATGGTATTGTAATATGAGCTATTACCTTATAAGGAAAAACAAACAATTATATGGTATTGTAATATTAGTTATTACCTTATAAGGAAAAACAAACAATCATATGGTAGTGTAATATTAGCTATTACCTAATAAGGAAAAATCGGTATTCATTGACCAAGCAGTCAGTGCCACTGTCAGTTGAAAGTTGTCAGTCTACGAGGTTCAAAGAAGACTGACTCTCGCTAAGACCTATAGGATTAATTTGCATGAAAAAAAATTTAACCTCTGACCTGAGAAAGCAGTCAGTTTAAATAGTTCTGGATGATTTTGGCGTCATGAATGAGATCTATATGAAAAATTCCAATCTTAAGAGACTTTATAAGAACTTGACTTCCATTTTGAATTTGCAGTAACTTACGGTATTGGTTGAAACTACATGTAGGACAGCCTATTCTCTGTTCAATTTCCTTATCGCTATATTAAATTTATTATAACTGATCCATACACCGAGGTATCTGAAATGATTAGTATTTACTAATTCCTTCACCTAGATTTTTATGATGTATTCCGGGTAGGTGACGTCACTGTTTCCATTCCAATTCCACACGATAGTTTCTGATTTGGAAAGGTTTGAGTTATAATTCAGGAAACACTTGGTAAAGGATGTTAAATTTTGTTCAGGATATTGTGCAAATGGCGAACATACACCAAGCTACTTGAAGTATTTAATGTTGAGTAATTCAACATCTTGAATTTGTTATGGAGTCAGTGTAGATAATTTACTTGAATTTGTTATAGGTTCAGGGTAGATTATTTACAAATTCTAAATCTTGAATTTTTTATGGAGTCAATGTAGATTATTTACAAATTTTACATCTTGAATTTGTTATGGGTTTAGGGTAGATTATTTACAAATTCTACATCTTGAATTTGTTATAGGTTCAGGGTAGACTATTTACAAATTCTTCATCTTGAATTTGTTATGGAGTCAGTGTAGATTATTTACAAATTCTACATCTTGAATTTGTTATGGAGTCAGTGTAGATTATTTACAATTTGTTGTGCTCAGGGTAGGATAAATGACTGCTTTTATTCCAGTTTCAGATTTTATATTCTGTTTTAAAATGTTTTATTTTGAGTGCTATTTTTTGATCTCTCTTGGTATAGGCTTTTGTGTTTTTTCAAGATGGTATTGTACAAATGTCGGCCATCACTGCTCCCTAAAATCTTTAATGTCCTTCAGATATGAAGCCTTTGATATTTTTTGCAATTATACAGGCAGCCTGTCAAATAGAATTTCTCTCCTCTATTAAAATAAAGAAAAGAAAAAAAAACACCTCTAGGGGCTACTAGCCCTCCTCACAAACTAATAGAAGTAATTTGACCTTACCGATAGTAGTAAGAAAGTAATGTATTTTTCTATTAAATAAAGTTTACTTCTTGTATAGAATATTACCTTATAAACATGTTGCTTAATACAGGACGAAAGTGTTTATTAAATTTCTGACGGCTCTCTATTTTCATGACTGATGTTCAGATGAACTACTAACTTTAGTTTCACCAGTAAAGAAGTTTACACATAGGACACGCCATGCCAGGCACAAAGAGTTGTTTTATCATTTTTTTCTTCATATTCCATTTGTGAGGCGTAAGTTTTGCTCAGTCAGATTCTACTCCAGGACTGTTACATTGTGGAATCGACTCCATAATGAGTTATTCCCAATCAGTTTAGTCTTAACCTCTTCAAGTCTAGAGTTCACCGTTATCTCTGCTACAAAAAACGAATTGATCAATCAGAACACTGATGTATATACATATATATTTGATCAGATCAGAGAATGTATATTTTGGAGAAGGTCAATTTAGAAAAAATGTATAATGGGAAATTAGGCTGAATTGAAGCTGTCAGAATTTTAAGAACATATTTAAATGTATCTTGAATTGGTAAACACAACGAAATTTTGTGATCTATGTTCAAGCATTAGCGCAATCAACATCTCCGATTGGTGTCTCTTTCGTTATATCAGATAAAAACATGGCAAAGTCTCAAAAGTGGACAGAGTTTGAATATGGCAGAATTGTCAAGCTTCAGAAGTATGATCTCTCTTAACGTGCCATCGTTGGTGAGATTGGGTATAATAAAACTGCTTTGGATTTGGCTAGCAGTTTACATACCTAGTGTAACAGCAAAATTACCCAAATCGTGTAACAACAAAATTGTCCAATTGTTAGATTAAACTTTGAACCGGTGTATCTTAGAAATGATTAAAGATATCTTACTGGAATTCTCCGGGGTTTGTATAACACTATTGCACTCTACTTTGAACAAAAAGAATTTATTTATCTCTAAGTTGAAATGATGATCTCTCCTGCAGTTGTGACCTCCTGATCTAGTTTTTTTCTATTGCTCCCACTTTTTTAAACTTATTCATCGTTCTCTTGATGATTCTTGAATAGACTTTGAAGATGGTAGCCATCATATGAATGTTGATACCATTACTGAATGCCTGAATGATATTTTTCCTCTCACCATTGCTCAGTTGGAAGATATAGTGGTGTTGACGCAAAACGATTTTAATTTGTTCTCTTTCGAGCTGAATAACTGAAAGGGTTTTTCTGGGATTCTTAGGATAAATGGTGTCAAGATGGCTAAACGTCTTATCTGAAAACTTGGACAAAAGGAACTCAATTAGTTTAGTAGTTTTTTTTGTTTTTTTTAGATATTAAACATTTTGTGGGATGGACAACTATCCCTTGCTGTTACACGATTTGGACAATTTTGCTGTTACATCCGGTATATCTATGTAGGTATGTATTGTATAATAAAACAATTAAGAGGGGTATAAGAAGAAAACGAAGGCCTCTCTCATCGTGCCATCGCTGGTGAGATTGTACACTGTAAAACAATTGTTGAAAAATTCTTCAAAGACCCCGAGGGAAACGTATTCAAATTTTCCCTAATAAATGATAAAAAAGTTTTTAAATTTTATTTTTCCTTTTCTTATTTTCATTTCTCAAAAGAAAGGGTATATTTTCAAAGGTAAATGCATATTTTTCTTTATTTTGATTGGCCCTAAGATCTGGGACAGAAGATATCTATGTATATATGTTTTGTATAATAAAACGATTAACGAGGCTATAAGAACGGTGCTCGATTTAAAATATAAATAATATATAAACAGAGCCAATACAAGAAACATATTTTTCTAAAAAAACATAATAAAATATAAAATTCAGTATATTGTCCCTTGAAGCGCTTGAACATTGTGAGAAAGCAGAATAACAAACATGGAGTCCACATGA